CTCCAGCAGAGATATAGCTTTGATAACCAATTGTGCCAAAACTATTCCTATAAATTATAATATATAAAATATACAATTTAATATAGAAATGCAGGTCATTAAAATTATTCTACATTTAATAACTTACCATATATCTATATAAATACTATCTGTACTCATAAATGAAACATAAAACACAACACATAAAATCTGGAATCATAAACATGCAACACAAACTCTACTAACAAAAAATATAAAAAACCACCAAAATGTTAATCATTAAATAAAACGTGTTAATCCTTCATACAAATAATTTTTTACAATACAAACAACTAATTAGTACAATAATTGTTAAAATTCTTGAAATAATGAAATCTATAAGAACATATAAATGTCACATAGTTATTATTTAAGTACCTTTTACGGGTCCTCTTGATGCAAAGACTGCTATTGACTGCGTAAAATTTAAAGCCAGACTTTGAAACATAAAAACCAATGCATGGTTGGCTTTTAACCCGGAGGGATCTATTTCACCGCCAAAATCTTCCAAACCATTATATGTTAACGTCTGAGAATTAACATTAAAACTCTCCCTCAAAAATATCTCATCAAATACTAGCATTCCGTGTTTTTGTTCACGTGTAAGTACACCTACTCTTTTTTTCAAAAGTTGAAAAAATTTTTTGTCGAAACCACACTCAATATTTATCAAAGATAAATATTTTCTTATAGTCCTTAGACAAGGGAGGGGCAAAATGTCTTGCTCCCTTAAAAAATTATAAGTGGTAGATGATCTATAACAAAACATTTTTAAATTAAAAACATCTCAAAGATTGGAGAAAATTTAATAATATTACGCGACATACCTTATTTTCAATAACACACATAACAATATCCAATTTTCTGAATATCGTCTGTTTTTTAAATTAGTGACCATGCTAGCGTTAATTATTTCTTGTACAATGGTTTTTTGTGATTTATTTAATTTATCTGATTGTATTATGGTATTAATTGATTGATTAGTTAATTCTTTTGATTTTATTTGTATCTCATTTAACTTTAAATTTAATTCCTTAATTGACATCTTACACCTTTAAAAAATAATAAGTTATAACTTAAACTGGCATTGAATATCAACTATTAATGGTTAATTTTAGGTACTATACAAAAATTATCTACACATATCATTAGGTAGGTAACAATTTAAGTATATTTTACCTTATATTGGATCTTTTAATGTTTTTTGATTTTGTTAATATCTTATTAAGCATACTACGCCGAGTTGGAGTAAGGATAGACTCAATATACTTATTATTTTTCAATAAAGCTCTCTTTTTATACATCCTAAAATATGGAAATAATAAGTTGCATCGTTCACACCTTT